GAGCTTGTACCTGTTGTCTTTGTACTCTGACTCCTGGTATGGTCTGATGTAGTCCACTCCTTTTCTGGTGATGACGCAGATGTCGATGTTGTTGCCTGAGCCGAGGTCGCTCATGATGCCMGCGTTGATGGCGAGACGCACCAGCTCCTTGGCCTCCTCCAGCTAACACACACAAATCAACATGGAGAAGAATTCATGTGTTTAATGTAGAGACTTATTGGCAGTGCCATACTATACCAGCAATTATCCAAATACAGATGAAACACTTCTGTGATTCAGTCTAAATGATGAGGACTAATAAGAACTGTCACAGGATGTTAACAACAGTGAACAGACCTCCAGATCAGGTTTGAACTGATCCTCTAAAATCCCGAGAGCAGCCAGATCACCGGATCCTGCATGAACACAACAGAGCAGAATAAATACATCATGTTGATCAAATATGAGAGTAAAACACGAAGATCTCTGACACTTACAAATAAAATACTTGCACTGAACAGGGAGTGTGAAATCTTGTGTTTCAGATTCAAATGACACATTTGAGCCATAAAAAAAAAGACCTGAGCCGTCGTAGTGAGCACACAGGGTTTCCAAAGGGTCTTAAAAGTCTGAAATTGAATCATCTCAATTGAAGGCCTTAAACCATTTTAAATATCTTTAAATATTATGTACCAGCTTTTWAAGAAACACATCTCACCTGTGGGKAGTAAATCCAAGAGTTAATGTCTCTTTGTGTCACATTAACTGTGTTGACATTTATCTAACGCCACTTCTGTCGCACTGTTTGCTTTACAATCTCTCTCTGTGTTGAAGTTCTTTCTCAACAAAAGTTTCTCTCTACTCGATTACGTCACCTTATCTTTACTTATAAGAGAAAAGTCATTCTGGAACTCTGATATTCCTTCATATCAGTCACACTTGACATCTTAAATTTCATTCATTAATGATGTTAAAAGTTTTACATTTTTCTTGAAACCTGCAGAAACCCCACAGACTCGGCTCCGACAACAACAGTTGTGCACATACTTACAGAAGAGTGTTATTGAACATACCCATTGCAAGGTAAGGCATCTTATTCACACTCCCATATGGCCCCACTGTGTACAGGTGGTTCCCCGTGCAGTCAACTCCTCCCAGAATAAGATTTGCACCAATTTGGCCGTGATACCTGAGGAGCAGAGATTTAAAAACTGAACTTTAAAGAAAGTGAGAGCTTCTTTAAACTCTTGTATAACTCATTCCCACACCCTAAGAYATAAGTACGTGTCAAAGGGAAACACGAACCTGTACAACATATCCTGCAGTATGCTGACGGCCATGACGACGCGAGGGTTCCTCCCACTGTTCAGCGAGAAGATGGTGAGGTTGGAGGAGACCATCTCTGTGGTTTTCTCTGTATCTGCTGCGGTTCCTGCTCCACAACAACTACAGAGAGAAAGAAGAACCGAAGCTACTGTGAGAGAACATGTGAGGSGGGAGGAAGGGCAAAGTGAGGGGTCAGGACTCGTTCTTGGACACTGACGACACACAAACGCTCTTGACATCTTCGTCTTTGTCATTTGTGCATCTGTCGCATGTTGTAAATGGACACACCCACTTGCTCACGGTGAATCCTGCGGAGGATCTCCTGCTGTGTTCTCTCAATGGCTGCTCCGGAGTTTCTGTGGACATTTTACTGAGGGACTGGCTGGAGAAAGTCTGCAGAAAGTGTGGAGGCTCTCACACATACAGCCCCAGAGAATGTCCAGAGGATCTCCAGAATGATACTAGTGAGAGTACTTGATGGTGGATTTCTGCTCCAATCCTCGTGACACTTACTATATGTTCGGGGCGATGTAATGGATCTTGGCGCACATCTTGTCGGCCA